TCACAATGTGTACAGTAAGGCCTCTTCTTACCCCCACCAGGACCTTGAGCAGAAGATCCTTTGCCATGACCAGAAGACTGACCCTTCGAATTGCCATGAGCAGCCAGAGCAACCGGTAGGGAAGAAGGAATCGCAGCCTGACGTTCATGTTGAGCTAGGCTGGAAAACACTTTGTTGATGGATGGCAGTGGATCATTCAACAGCAACTGAGATTTGATATGACCAAAGCTCTCATTGAGTCCTTTCAGAAATCTAATGACCTGATCCCTACGCACATATTCTCGTGGAATGGACGAAGCTAGACAAGCACACTTAGGGTTGCAGGTACACACAGGCAGAGGTCTGAGAATCAAGAACTCTTCCCAAAGGACTCGAAATTTGGTAAAATAGGCACTGATTGACAGCGAACCTTGTTTGAGAGCAGCAATCTCATCATAGATATCTGAGATGCGGATCTCATTACCTTCACTGAAGCGTTCTCGAAGATCTTCCCAAGCTTCCACAGCTGTGTTGAACCACAATACACTTTGCGCAATCTCAGGGGAAACTGAGCGCTGAATCCACCCAAGCACAAGAACATTAGCCTGATCCCAAGCGCTCCATAGAGGATCATCTGGCGACGGGACCGGTGAACCAGAATCAATTAATTGAAGCTTGTTGCGTGCATGCAACCCCATTCTCATCGACCGCGCCCAGCTGTGATAGTTGGAACCAGAGAGCGGCACCGTCACGAGCTGCTGAGCAGACAAATCGCCATTGGCCACAAAGAACGGGTGCGCCGGTGAAAGTGAAGACGAACCGCCAGGAGCACCTCCCGACGCAGCACCAGACACCGGAGGCGGACCGAACGTCGCATTGACAGCAGAAAACGACGCCATTGATGCAAGGTCTGAAACTGATGAAGAAATCGACTGAGCGAAGCAAACTCGATCGGAGAAGACTGAGCGAAGCAAAATCGATCGGAGTCGACTGAGCGAAGCAAAATCGATCGGAGAAGACTGAGCGAATGCAAAATCGATCGGAGAATCGATCGTCGCAGGGAAAAAGAGACGAATCGAAGAATCGAGAATCGACCGCCACAGAGGAACGAATCGGAAAAGCAAACGGAAGCAGAAACTGGATCGAAACAGAGGAAGGAGAAAGGAACGAGAAGTTCACTTCTCCTGGAACCCTCGAGAAATCACAAGAAAATGACTCAAAAAGTCAAAGAAAACAAGAAAGGTGTGATACACCCTCTGATACCATGTCGTTTTAGAGAAGCCTACAGGCAGATTTTATTAATTGGAAAGAAAAGTTACAATATCCATTACATCTCCATCTATATATACTAAATACTAAATACCTATACAGTACTTACAATATAATCAAATTACAATTAAACCTATAAACTAAGTAAACCTACAACTAAGTCCTCGTCGTTTCCTCCTTGGACAACTCCCCACGCTACTACGGGTCGGGGCGGATAAACCCGCGCGGGTATGGGGCAGGGGCGGGGCGGGTCAACCCACTCTTACATGTTATTTGAAAAAATAAACGCAAATTTTACTTTTACGATAAAATGAAGGGAAAAACACTTTATGAATAATAAAAAATAGTGATAATAGAATAGGTAATTGAGTCTAACCAGTTGAAAGATCGACTCTAACTAGTTGAAAAACAATCAAAACAAGAGAAATATGTATACATATTGTAATAAATTGAGGTAGAATGTGCTAAGAACGGGACGGAGTGTGGCAGAGCGGGTCGGAAGTAGATATCCATACTCCACCTCACGCTACTGCTAGGGCTGGGAATCCAGACCAAACCGTATGAGAAACCGCGGTATAGACCGTATCGTATGGTTTGGTCTAGACCGTGAGACCAGAACTATGGTCTGGTCTGGTTTGCGGTCTCCTCCTTTAGTGCGTGGTCTGAAGTGGTCTGGACCGCGGTCTACCGCAGTAAACCGTAACAGACCGCGACACACTACCTACTGCATTGGACAAAAATAACACTAAATTGAACCTCCATATGCGTATTTGAAGAACAAAGTTAGTTGATTCTTCATCTAGTTGAGAGCCAACAAATTGCAAAATGATCGCTTATATGTTATAAAAATTTAAACACTACAAAAAAAATTTGTTCACCTTGATGAGATAAGGAAAATTATTGAGAGATATGCGACCATCTTAGTGGTTCGAAATTACCTCGACGTCATCAAAAAGGTTATCAACTGGGAGAACCTTCGGATCACTCGAGAGAGGAGAGAAGCGGTAGCACAAAGAGGAATAGGGAAATAAGGCTATTTGAAAATTGAAAAAACTCACTTCTATCCTCATATTTCTTATTTAATACGATCACAATTTTTTTGTTTCACTAGCATATTGGTCACTAGATTTTTTTTATAGATACCGGCGAAGGGTTGGAGGGCGAACAAGAGTTAATTTTTTTTTAACATGGTCTGTCTGGTCCAGACCGTACCGGACCGCACCGCACAGGTGTGGTCTGGTCTGGACCGTATAGTATATGGTCTGGTCCATGGTCTGTTTTCCAACCTCTCGGTCTGGACCACAGACCGTATCTATGGTCTGGTCTGGACCGGACCGCACCGTTTCCCACCCTAGCTACTGCGGGTCAATTAATACCCGCCCCATCTTGAATGAAGTCGGATAATATCCGTCGAACGAGTTCAAATTGTCATCACCAGGCACAATCCCCAGAAACAACCACCAAGGGAAAGAGAACAAGAAAAAAGGGAGGCCAACAAAACTTGGAAGTATCCCAACAACTAAATTCTCCTTTTTCCTCGCGTATACTTTTTATATTGGAATGACACCCCCAAAAAAAAGGTGCTAAGAGAAGCAATCTTTGAATCAATGCACAATTTGGACGTATTCTAACTAGTTTAGTATGCAACCTTTGAATCAATCAGTTCAAATTTTATGTTATATAGTAGATGTGTATTCTTTAATAGAACTAAAGGAGATAAAAGGAGATCACCAAACTTGGAACCAGCCGAGCAGATCAGAAGCCAATTCCAAACCACTGACTTGGGAATTGGGATTAGTCCATACGAAAGACAACATAAAGTTATAGCACTATGGTATGGAATTAAATTGTACTATAGCGATATGGGTATATTATAGTGTAGAATACTGATAGTCAATATAATATTAGAAATATATTAATCATCATTTAACAACGTCCATCATCGTTTATCACCACTATGATATATGATGGTAAATGGTGGTATACTTGATCCCAAAATAACTTTTAAAAAATATATTAAAAGTTGACATAATTTTATAGATTATGATTAACCTATAAATATATAATAGTAGATTTGGGAACATTTTTTCAGCATTTCAAATTTCCTCTAACGAGAGTAAAAGTAGGAAGGGTGGATTTGTCTTTACACTTTATTTGTCTTATTCATACGAATAACTACATCAATCTATAATTTGAACCATGGTCTCTTTAAACACCGACATGAATTGTTACCAATTACACTAAATGAATTTGATGAATCTTTTTAAACTAAAAATATAGAGAAACCTAAAATTTTAAAAAACTTATGATTTTTCTATTACGGTTAACTATCTCCCTAACTCTTCCGTACATATTTATTTGGTGTTTGATATTTTGATTTTGATTTTTTTATTATTTTATTTTATTTTAACAAATTAATGTAACTACTAGCTAGAAATACCCATTTAAAATATTTTGAAAACTTTAGGATGTACATCGTAAATACGTCATATTCAAATGGCATTCCAACTAACTGGTGGACACCAAACTAGGTTGAGTTAAAATGAAAGATGGTAAAGGGTGATAGAGAGGGACAAATGATGGTAATGGATTGCCTAAAAAAAATTCTTCAAAATATATAGAAAATGAATATAATTTTGTAGATCATAAAAAAAAAACTCGTTTCTTTTGTACAAAAATTTCAAAGTCCAAATTAAAATAAATATACACGCTGATTAAAAAATAAATTATCTACCCTGCAAATTTGGCCTCTATCAAATATAAGAAACCAAAACTAATTACGCATCAATACAGAACCAAAGATTTATGGCACGCGATTGAGTTGTCCACCCTGTTAGACATTTAGAGTTGTTGGACATATCCAACGCGGTTGCATGGCAGCTTGCACACTACAGGCAAAGACTGGGACTCTATTTTTATGGTTTTCCCAAGTAGGCAAAAGATCTGAGACGTCCAATGAATACTGCGGTTAGGTAATGTTGTTGAAGTGCAGCAATTGAATACCCACCAACTTCTGGAAATGGTCATCTTCATTCAGGTTGACCTTAGAATATAAAATAAACATGATCATCATCATCTTAGATAAGTCGGCATCTCGGAATCCACCAGGCTGATTATAAAACCATTGTGTTTCCAAGTTTTCTTATCTAAACGGATGCCAACTTGGCGGCTCTGATCCATCAACTCAACCAACTTCTCATAGTTACTAGAAGTTGAACACGAGACTGCATATTATCTGAACCGAGTCTGAGAAAAAAAATCTTTAATTGGTAGATGAATTAATGAAAGAGTTTATACAAGTACTATAGACATCTTTATAGGTGACAAATTGATGGGAGGTGTATAAATTGATGCGGTCTTACTAATTTGTTAGAAATTTATCATAAATGTTAGTCAAATTGCATAATTACACGTTAAAGAATTGGACTTGCAGGACCCCCACCCACACCCTTAACCCAATCTCATTGCATCCAACGTTGATTTACAAATAAAATTTTCTGCAAGGTAAGGTCTTATCAGTTATCACCAATCTCAGTTCAAAAAGGTGATAAATGTTAGGGCACTGACAAAAAACCATCATGTGCTTAACAGTAACAGATGGAGTCATGGGGATTCGAATAAAAGACCTTTCAGTCACAGAAGACTCTGATACCATGTCAAAAACCAATTGATCTCAATAACTCGAGTTGTTAGAAAAGGTTCAATTGTGCGTCATAATTGTGCGTCATATACCGTTTGCTAACACATTGTACTGCCCAAATGTCGCCAATGTATGATAAAACTGACTCATCAACACCATCATCATCAGTTCATAACCAAAACTCTCGAATATGACACAACATGTGAGATCCGAGAAACGGAATGCTCTGGTTTCCGTACTTATGATGATAAAGAGGACAGAAAAATGGGGACAAAAAAAAAGGAAAGGAAGATAATTCGAAAGAATAAGCTCCACAAATTGGCCGCTGGGATCATATCTTACAAATGTAGTATCTCAGTGTCAGTCCTACTACACAGGGACAAACTAAAGGGAAAACAAAAAAACCTTTCATACAACAAATCATTGACCGTCAGAGCTACTGGAGAATGGATTCCCCACTACTCTTCTATTGCTAGTATTCATCTCCTTCAGCAATCTGCGTCAACTCCCATATACAATCCCTTCTAATTGCGAAGGGGAATCTCCTTGAATCACATTCCATTACATGAAACCCCCCAAATCGAACACCTGTCAATATGTAGGAAGGCAAGGAATGGGTTTGAGAATCTCAGGAACAGTCGCATTCTAAGCAATAAGAGAAACTGACCAATTGCCTATACGATCATGTTTCCTAGAGGTATTTCCAAGCCGTTGTAAGGAACTAAAAAAAAGAGACATTCCATAAATGTGACAAGAAGTTGGACCATTTTTCTGGTTTTCAGATCTAAGAGTACCTTCATGTCTGTTCTGGGTACTGCATTTTAAGTTCAGTCAATCTTCATGTTCACCTTCACCTTCAGAATCTGCAGAATGGAAGTACATTGGAAGGACATTTTAGTGCTAAACTTGCATCTAAAGCTAGCTGAAATAACTAAAAGCAGTAATCCTACTGTTTGCAGTGCATAACTTAAAATGAATTGATTTTCACTGAAGAAGTGTTCAGGAAGTCTATCAATCCAAACTCAAATAAGCTGCATAGACCTATGAAGGAAATATCTGAAAGAGAGTTTTTTTTTTTTTTTTTTTTTTTTTTTTTTTTTTTGCTTGGTAGAGTTTGAAATAAAGTACTGTTAAAGCACACTTCTAGTCAACATTGTTTTTCCCAGTCACATAGTATAGGCTTTTCTATATTAAACAGAACCAATTCAATCCCAACTTACTGAGCCCGATTCATATTGCAAGCAAGCACACACCAGAACAATAGATCAGTTTTTTCTAAAAATTCCACATCTGTGTATCATTGGTGTGTTTAGCTTACCAGACCGAACATCGTCACTAAGCTGTCCCCTTGCTTGGATTTGCCTGACCAGCATCCGGTAGATCAAGACCCACCAATATATGTGAAGCACAAGCAAGCAGTATAGAAGAGAATTAAACACATAATAATAGATCGGACCCTCCCAGTCATGCCTCTTCTTGTCCAACGTCAAGACAACTTCATAGCTGCAATTGAGTTAAGAAAGTAAGATGAGCCACACTTAGTCAAAAAAGGAATCTTAAAACACGAGCAATGTATTCTCGCCCGTATAACAGGAGCAATGTATTCTCGCCCGTATCTTGGAGAGGGACGGAATAATCTAACTCAAGGTCTTAAGACAGAGAAAGATATCAGCTACTATTCTTCGGTGAAGCTCGACTCATGATACAGTCAATATATAACAACCTTAGGTTACAGTATTACTCAGGTTGTTGTACATCAGTCATCAACCACCCATCTTGAGATTGACTTCATTTTATTTGCTAGAAGTCAATGAGCATGACCTGAGCTCGAGCTAGTCTTGTGCACGATTTAGCGGACAGATCATCTATACGACACCACCAGATACTCAATTCGCACACTACCTGACTTCTCCACATGACAACATTACCGGTATAGAAGCTGAAACATCACCTAGCTTGTGTAGGGCATGTATGTGTTAAGCCTAAGCCTTCATTGATTTTCCACAAATAAAATAATAAATGCAGTCTTTCTCAGGTCAAGCGACAGTCAGTCATGGTAAGTTCATGCAAAGCTGTAGATACATTATACAGAAGCTTCTGAAATAATACTCAGAATAGCACCATCGGAGATAAAAATTTATGTCAGCAACAGTGGCCCGTAGACAAATTATAAATCAAGAGCTAAGATAGTATGACTTAGGCATCTAAGTGTGCAAACCTTGTACTCCAGAGGACCCAAAATGGATAGTAGATGAGCCGTAGCAAGATCCACGATAATACGAAAAGAATAAATGCAAAGCTTGCTATGCCTTCAGCACCACTATACTTGGACATTTTTCCTACCTCCAGGAATACATCACTAGCGTCATGAAGAGCTAAGACAACTGAACCCACACGACCAAATCTGCAACCAAAGGAACAAATTTAATCAATTATATCCCATCCATCCCCCCCAAACCAAAGACTACAATATGCATATTAATGCAACTCTGCCTTTAGGTACCTAAATATGTAGGATAGAATAATGAGAATGACGGTAGCAACATGATGGCTCATGGAGACCCCAAAGTCAGAACGCCTTGTCTCCCAAAATATGAGAGCAAATATTGAGTATGTATAAAATCCAGCAGTGTACATGTATAATCCTTTCAACTTTAACCTGAAATTCCACAAAAGAGTTTTTGTTCAGTTTTGGCAGTTGGATAAATCCAATAAGAATTATGACGAACTGCTAAATAAGATACCCATAAAAGTTATAGAGCTCCCATGTGTACTTCCAAATTCTTACTTCATTTGTTGATCTGGCCAGACTTGATTTCCTGGTCCCACCCAAAAGTTTTTTGTGTTTGTAAACCAAGGCTCATTATAAGTGACAGATAAAGCTAAAATCTCAGCTGAAAGGAAGTAGATGCATTTCCATGCTGATTCTTTGAATTTTCTTATCTTCTTCTTTCTGTCTGCTGAATCATCCTCCACAATCTGATATCCCTTTCCAAATATCAATCTGTTCCCCACTTTCTGCAACATGGACATTAACTTCAGACTCACCAAGTAGAGAAAATGAGTGAGCTAAGAGAAAGAAGAGAGACGGGAGGAGGTTAACTAATATGCAACAGTTATGAGAGAATAGTAGTATTCGAACAGCAGCAGAAAAAAACAGCAAAGCCTTTTTCCAGTTCATTTGCCGATCGAGTTCTAATGGAAGTTGCAGTTCATGAAGCATAACCATTGAACATTCTAGAAATTTAGTTATCCAAATCTGGAAAGGAAAAGGTATCCTTGTCACTTTGTATTTCTGTTATTCAAAACTAACAAGAAAATGGAGGGAACAAAAGCACTCCTCGTGAGGTGAAGGTAATCACAGAGAGTTCAGTACTTCATTACGATTGGAAAACCTAAACAATACCATGTATTTCACGAAGAAAGTGAAACCTTTTCGGTAGTAGTTAACTAGTCACATGGAGATTGTGGAACTTTATTTATGTATATTTTGTTTGTGAGTGTGGCAATCACACATCCCAACAAGAACATAAAGGTTAATGCTATCATCACTTTTACAGATATACTGACGATAACTTATGTGGAAATTGGAATAGGAAAGCTAAGCTATAAGGGCAATATCTAAGTAAAGAAACTGTTGAAAGAACAGAAACACAATACAGATAAGCCAAAAAGTAGGTCATGTTTCAGCATGCCCGCAGAATACTATGACCGGGAAAATACTAGCACAGATAGGACTAACACAGTCCACATGAGAGAGGCAACACTAAGATTCTACATACAGATATCTGTGGCCATTCGGTATAAATCATGCTTTCAGTGTAGCTGCCAAACAATCTTTTTAAATGATATGAACCATAAACATTAATCTGAATTCAAATCGTAGCTTCCTTGCCTATGTTACCTCATTCCTGATAACAAGTCTATAGACAGAGAGAAGTTCAGAAAGAGAAAAGATGTAACAGAAAATGAATCAGCTGTTCCACAAAATGACCCATCAGAGTCAAATTATAAAACTTATTATTGTAACTGAACCATAGGCGTGGACCCTTGTTTCATAGGGATACTACTGCCCACGACTACTGAAAACCTCAATTGATAGAGCCAGAGATCAAGATTCAAAAGAATATTTTCAGACCATGAATCACTTAGATAGATTGCCCTAGGAGAAACCACAAATATACTTGTGTAAAGCATAAACACTCGTGTAGATGCTGGCACCAACAGACTAAGCTCCATTTGCCAGGAACCTAAGCCAACTGAATCAGGATCCCGATTGTGTGTACTAAAGCCCAATGGGAAAAACAAGCAAGGTGGAGATGCACGATCACCTTTAAGTTTGATAATCTTGGAGAAAGTTTCAGAACGCATGATCAGCCTTAACATGAAGCTGATCAAGTTTCTGAAAAGTTATCCATTAAGCTTGAGGAATATTCTGCAACATCCCAGTGAAGTACTACCCGGCGTGCCTGAAGACTTCCACTTCTCTATTCTCTAATCTAGTAACTTCTGAATGAACCCATATGAGCACTACCTAGTGGATATATTCAGATCAACCTAAATTCCAGCCATTGTTCTCTAGATTCACAACAGTTCGCCGAATCTAGAGAATTAAGTTGAGCAGGAAACATTAGCAAAATGTCAACGACCCGGTAAACAAAAGCTACACGCTGAATTCAGGGACCTGAATACACAAACGAGTTTACCCTAGCAAGCAGAAGCAAACAGACTTCCAAAAGCCAAAAGAGAATGTGCCAATGCACCAAGAAGGAAGAAGGGCCAACAAAGTTTCTAAGTCAGCTGGAACCTAAAAGAAGCGGGAGAGCAGCAGAAGTACGAATGGAAATCCAGAAACCCAGAAGCAAGAGTACCTCGAATACGAATCTGTCTAGGAAGAACCGGACAGTGGGGAAGAAGAAAGCAAAAAGCGGAAGAACAATATAATCTTCGTAAGCTGGATACGATTCATGTTCCCAGTCAATCGAATTCAGAAGCTCGGCGAACCCCATCTCCAGAATCCGAGCAACAGTGGCAAACTTTGTCACAAAAAATTGCAGCCAAGATAGCTGAGGAAGAAGTGAAAGCGGGGCAAGAGCGGCCTCCTTTCGCCGTCACTGGAAATCTAAAATTACACAAACGACGGACGAAGACGCGAACAGGAGTTGCGTTTTGCCGTTCTCTTCCCTTTGTTCAGTAGTGATAAATAGGACCAATTAAAAAAAAACGATGGGCTCTTTTGGCTGGCTTGTGTAGGATTGAAATGGGTCGGGTCGGAGACGGATCGTGAATATTCGTTACTCTATCCAAAGTAGTTTGGGTTTTACCCATATTAATACATACTCACATGTGAAACAGGTAGAAAATTAAAACCATGCCCATACCCGTTCGGGTTTCGGGTACCCACGGTTATCTATGGGTAATATCTCTTCATAACTCCAACAAATATGTTAACATTCACACGTATTCTCACATTACTTAAGAGGAAAGTACGACAATAGTTCACTAGAATGAACAAAATTAATTAACGCAACACAATTTCATGAAAATATTATATTTATATGCTAAATATAAAATATTTCAGAGAAAAATAATGATTATTTCTAGACAAAATACATATGCATTTGGATAATCGGGCGGGTTCGCATTGGATAGTGAGAAACCCCTACCACCCATTACCCGCAATATTCACTAAATATCCTTCGGGTTCGAGTTTTACCCTACCCGATTAGGCCGGATTCGGGCGGATATCCATGATTATCGATATTTTTGGTATGCCTAGGCTGGTGTGAGCATATGCGTTTACAATTTGGTCCTCTATTTTTGCGCTACTTCTCGGGAATGAATCCCGAATTCTCTTCTCCTTGTTGTAATCGCCATCGGCGGATCTGCGAAATATTTTATTTTTGTACGCCCAGCAAGCACGTGATCCAGACTGTATGCATTAGGCGGGTTAACAAGAATAATGTACACAACTTTTCTTATAATAGTGAAATTGCTTTCAATAGAAATTGGAATATTTTAATCTATTAAGTTGAGCTTCATTTTTTCCAAGGATTTCCGTTGATGGTTAGATTTAAAAGTTGAACTAACAATAATCAAATTGTGTTTAATCGCCGATCGTAAATGTCAGAGTCAGACACGATATTTATTATAATAAATCAATTTTTTTACCAAAAATTCATACTTCCAAAAAAAACCATCTCCTAAAAAAAAAAAATCTCATTCAATAAAATGGCATTCAAATTCTCTCGATGATCTTTTAATAAGTTTTGATTTTATTTTCGATGGCAGTCGTCGCTGACGAGTGACGGGGCCTCATTGGGCGCCGACATCGACGGTAGATCGCGGGCCTTATTATTTGGTGCATCAGAGGATACACGATTAGAGTACTATGAGCCGAAAATTGTCAACGGGTCTCTACACATACCTAAGTCAGTGATTGATGAGGGGATTCATCGATGGGAAAACAATATAGTAGGGAAATTCCTACATAGGGGAAGGTTTCGTGGGTGGAGGAAAGATTGTTATTGTTCTAGTTTTCTATGACGACTAATTGTTGGGGTCGTGGCATTACAAAAATAATATGGTCTGTTTGCGACATTGAGTACCTACTAATACTATCATTCTAGGTCAAAGCAGGAATCACAAGAATTTGATCAGGACTCAAGTAATTCTGAATCAATGCCTTAATAAGATAAAAGATATTCAATCATTCATGACAAAGGGTTCATACAAGTCTTCCTAACATACAATCTAGGGTTCTTACATACCCAAGTGACAGAGGGGATTACTCCATGGAGAGAGAGTGGAAAGCAAAGCCGGATGTGGAAATCATCGTGCAGACGGAAGAAATCTACTCCGAGTCATCAATCATCACCCCTAAAGGCTTGAATCGAGCTCCAATGGTGAAGAGACTTGATCTACGACACTCAAGGTTCACTCTTCATCACTTTCTCTCTCTAAAACTCTCTTTTCAACTCCAAAGATCGAATCCCTTCTCAAACACACGAAATTTGGTTAAATTAGCAACTTCACATTTGTACAAGCAATGCAAGACTGTGCAACTTAACCCTCCAGCCCGAGCACATAGAAACACATCGTTTCACTTGAATTAGACGAGGGACCGTGCACGGCCATGCAATGGTCGTGCAAATTGAATTTTTGACCATGCAAACTCTGTGGAAACCTTGCATGGTCGTGCATTTACCTTACACGGCCGTACACATCATCCAGCACGCACTCCTAAGGTTCGTTTGAGCTCGTTTGACCTCCGATTATCCTGAAACTTGCGCCCAAGCCTTCCTCTATTTGTTATGTCCTGAAATACATCAAATGAGCACATACCAGCGTAAAATAGCCCAAGGAATGATCAATCACCAAGCTAAACGACCAAGAGATGCCTGGGAAAACATGTGCAAATATAGTGTTATCAGTCGCTGAAGATGAGCTTGTCACTATTGGGATTGTTGGTAATTAAGGAACATGCAAGGTGAGTGAATTCGCGATGGAGATCCAGAGGTGGAGCTCGCACTTTTTATGAATCTACTTGGCATCGAAGAAGATGAGATAGTACGAGCGAGGGTTTTTGTGGAAGTTAGGAAGCAGGAGATTGAGTGTCGTCAAGGTGGATTACGCTAGATTTAGGTTGGTATTGCATTGAAGGGAGAAAAGGTCTAAGACGAGGTTGGATTTGGCAGTGATGATCGTGTGTAGGAGGAAGGAGGAGAAGAACTGGGAGAGGTTTGAGGAGAAAATTTTCAATCCACGATCCACTCACATTAACCACTCACTTTAATTTGAATTATATGCTAGTAGATCGGTATCGAATCGCTACTTATCCACCCACATCCATACACCTACTAACTATGGCAAGATCAAGCTAAGATGCAGTTGATTTGGGCTGGAGATGTGAGATCCTGTCCACATGAACATGGGAACAGAAAAACATATTTTCTGTAGGAGCACGAGAGAGAGACTAGTAAGCAAGGTGGTCAACCCAATTTAGTGCATTGGCCCTGTCGAGCAAATGGGTTGAGGATTAACGGTTCACTCGCTTTAGTCTGGTTTAGCCCGAATATATGAAAAAATCATTATATTGTTAATAGATTTATAAATTATATCAAATCTCATCCAACATATGAGTAATAACATCAATATATATCATCCATATTCACATGTTCAACTTAGAATTCAAAAAATAGGGTCAGGCGAAGAGGAAAAACTAAAAATAGGCGCATTTTACAAATCAAAAGAAAAACGACACCGTATGACCTTCAACCCGGTAACCTTGTAACGAGTCGACCCGACAGGTGTGTGCAAACTGTTTTCTCGCGGGGTTTTTTTATCTTTCTATTAAGATAAACACGTTCGTAATTCGTAAATCGAAATCGAAATCTTCATTCCCTCACCCACTTATGCATTACTCTCTCTCTCTCTCAAGCGTCTAAGTCTGAAGCAAATACAAAAATTACACATCGAGAGACCAGGCATGGCCTCGGCCATGCTGTATTGTTCCCAACCCTTATACTAAATTAATTTTTAGCTAATAATTAGCAACAATTATTGAAGAAGTCAAACACCTTCATCCCACAAGAAAATAGTTATAGGCTAACATATTCATATTATATTCTTCTTCTTAAATTATACCCACAAGAAAAATATTACGTGAATTATAGCTTATATTAAATTTACGTCTCAATATTAAGTTGAAGAATGCATTAGACTAGAAAAATCACAAGAGAAAATATGATAATATAGCTTAATTTTCTCACAAATATGTGTTGTATACGAACTATTATGACAGTAGTTCAACACGGGTTGGGTCGAGTTCTACGGGTTGCGTTACCCAAAATTCGGATCCAACCCAATAGAGGCGGGTTGTAAAAAAAAAAAAAAAACCATAAGCCAACCTTAAAATTTAAGGGTCCTTTGGTTTTTGTGATACTTAAATCAATGTATTGTGGTTCATGCATGCATTGTAATTATTACAATGCAATTAAGAAAAATGATGTCTTGTACTTTACATTGTTTGGTATTGGTGATAGTTCTTTTAGTATTCAACATGTTATTTTACTTTTTTGTGAGAAATGTCATTTTGCCCTTGCTTTTATGAAAACATACACATATAACTAGGGGTATACTTGAAACAAAAAAGGAACCCAACAATCTCCTCAAAACTATCTCAACAATCTCAAGTTTTAGTAGAGATAATACTATCACTCATTTTGAGTGATAGTTTCCATCACATCAAGCAAACAATGCGTGTATTGTTTGTGCAGAAAATTCAAAAAAATGATGCATTATGGACAATACATGCATTGTAACTATCACAACCAAACTATCACCAAAACCAAACGAAATTTTAATGATAAATATATGTAGGTTAGACGAGTGGGTGGATTTGCGGATTGTTTTGTTTAGGGGTGTTCAAATGGTTACCGTGGTAATAACCAAACCAATTAAGCCTAAATTTCATTAGCCATGGAATAAAATATCTTAACCAAACCGTCCAAATTAACACGAAAACCAAATTAACCAAACCAAAGTTTAATTGGTTTGGTTAATCGGATAATTGGATTAACCAAATAACATAACATTACATGAAAATAATTATCCTGTTAATGAATAAAACATAACCATATGTTGTTACTATCATAAACTATCATTATATATAAGCAATAATAATAAGACTAACCATCCATGATTATCATCACCATTCGAGTTAATATATCATTCATCATCTATGCACATAATATAGTTAACTTACAACAAACCAGTTAACATAAATACATGCTTATACCCTCATCTGGAAGTTAAAGCTCTCCTACAAAACACTTAAACTATACATAGTATTGTACGTAATCCTAAAGTCTAGTAGTTGTCCAAAATGTTTTGGTTTAGTAAATAGGCAGACCATTTAATTTTTGACTCATAATGTTTTGGTTTGTTGTGCACATGGAAATGAAATAGGGAATCACTAAAGTTTGGTTTGGTTGGTTGCATGGAAGCATGAATAATTTTGTATATTAGGTGTATCATTAATTGGTTAATTGGTTTCATTGGTTAGTAGTATTGAAACCAAACCACCTAAACCAAATAAGCTAAATTATTTAACCAAACCAAACCAATTATCCAAATTAACCAAACCAAATAGACATGGCAAATTACAACCCGACCCGAAACCGCCCGAAAACTAGAATTTTTTTTAACCCGAAATCTGAATGACCCGAACC